TTTGAGAGATGCATCTTAGCTCAGGAAATTGTTATTGAATATGTCAATGCTGTTGTAATGAAATGCTTCTTCTAAGTATGTGGTTACTAAATAAATAATTTAAAAAAAGTTTTATGTGCATGAGTGTTGTGCTTGGACGTATGTATGTATATGATGTGCATGCCTCGTGTCCATGGAGGCCAGAGGAGGGTACTGGATTCTTTGCAACTGAACCCAGATCCTCTGCAAGAGCAGTAAGTGCTCTTAACTGTTGAACATCTCTCTAGACCCCCTAATTTCTTTTTCTTTCTATACTTTTATTTTCTCTTCACTTTCCATTTAACCTAACTTAAAGATTCATAGGGCAGATGTTGGTAATAACTATTTTTTTTCTTAGAAGGACTAACTCATTATGTAGATCAGGCTGGCCTTGAACTCATAGAGATCTGCCTGCCTCTTCCTCCCGAGTGCTGAGATTAAAGGCATGTGACACTATGCCCGGCAGGGTAATTATTTTTAAAAAGTTTTTAATTTATATTTATTTTGTTTGTATGAGTATTTTGCCTGCATGTATACAAGTGTACCCATGTATTCAATGCCCATAGAGGCCAGAAAAGGGCATCAGATCCCCTGAAGCTGGAGTTATGAACAGTTGCTAACCACCACATGGGTGCTGGGAACTGAACCCTAGTCCTCTGCAAGAGCAGTCCATGCTCTTAACAGTTGAACCATTTCTCTAGCCTCAGGGCTAATGATTTTGTGATAGCACATACATATTTATTCTGAAAGCTTGTAAACCAAGGAATAATTCTCAAAATTATCCAAGATATATTTACTCAACCATACCACGTTATTTGTAATGTCAGACATCCTAAGGAGCCTCCAAATTCTGCATAAACTATTTTAAATTTTGTATCTACTTATGACACAAAAATCTGTCCTGGCTTATTTTTCATTTTTCCAGCGATTATATATCATACATACAGACACAGACATAGATAAGTATGAATAAAAAGCACAGTGTCTAATCTGGGCATATATCCAAGGAACTTTATATCCTTTATATCCTTTCACAGGGATACTTGCACATCCATGTTTTTTATTTCTCTCTTCTCAATAGCAAGGAAATGGATCAGCCTCTAGATGTCCATCAATTGAAGAATGGATGATGAAAAAGTGGCATATATATATATAATGGAATTTATTAAGTCATAAAGAAAATGAAATTATGAAAAATTCAGGAAAATGGATGGAACTGGAAAAAACTATATTAAGTGAGGTAACCTGGGCTCAGAAAAACAAACACTAGATGTTCTCCAATATAAGTGAATCCTAGTTTCTAATTTTTATATATTTATATTTAAGTAAGAATGAGTCTATATAAGGTCAGAAAATGAGAAAGGGGCCTTTGAGAAAAGAAAAAAAAGCATTAAGGGAGATGGGTGGGAAGGGTAGTAGAATACATGTGATTTGAAAACAGAAGTGGGAATACTGAGGGTGGAAGGGTTTAAGTGGGGAGATGAGGAAGTAGAGGGATTAGGGGTAGAGTCAACCAAAACTAAATATGCATGAAAATGTCATAAGAAAACCTGATACTCTGTAAGCTAATTTTAAAAAGAAGTGTTACAATGTCTAGTTATAAGAGAATTTGGATTCAAATTCCAACTTTACCCCATACTAACTATGTAAACTTTGATAACTTATTTTACTGTTCTTATCTATAAAATAAGGATAATACCAATTTCATTGATTTACTATAAAGATGAAATGTTTGCTTACTGCAATGTAGTAAGTATTCACATTTCAAATTCCTTAATTTGAACCAAACATACATTTTTTTTGGTCTTTTTTGTTGTGAGCCTGAGCTTTTTATGGCTGTGTCAGCTCTCTAGTCCCAAACAAGCATTTTTTTTTTTTTCAAAAAAAGTTTAAGCTCTAAGAATGTGTCAGTACAGTATCATTCACTCGGAGGGAAAACTTGATACAAGGCAATCCTCCTCCAAACTCCAAAAAACGAATAAATGTAGTGTGGTGCCCTGGATGGGTTCTTAGAATAGAAAAAGGTCAATAGAGGAAAAACCAGTGAAAACCCAATAAAGTCTGGAGTTTGTTTAATGGTGATGTACCTGTACTGGTTCCTTAGTCCTGGCAAATGTATTATGGTAAAAAGACATATTAATATTAGGGGAACTGAAAATATTTGAGGCATACATGTGTATTCTCTGTACTGAATATACAATTTGCCTGTAAATCAAACTATTTTACAGTAAATAAAAAGTAAAAAGCCCCATCCAAAGAGAATTGTAAAACATTAAGCTTATAAAGTCCAAAGAAACAGTGTAGTAATTGTGGTGTCTATGAATACTATATGCTTCATATGCAAAACCACACACTGAGTCATTAGTTTACTTGATCAGGCCCTCATGCTCTGATGTTCTGCCTTTGTCCCTTTTTCATTCCCTTTTCTTTGTGGTTCCCATCTTAATTTGGCCACTTCCCCTCTTCTCAGAAGGTAAACCTTAGAAGGAAAAAGCTATCACATTTTTTTTTAAAGCAAAGAACAAGATTTTGTTGTTGGCACTGCAACTCTCATCACCACGCCAAAGAAGATTGAATACAATTTTAAATTTTTCATGTGCATTCATATACTGGCCTCAAAACAAACACTTAAAGTAGCTAAGAACAACTTTGGACATGTTCTTCCATAGGCCTGTTATTTTATTTTATTATTTATTTACTTTGGTCTTTTTGGAGACAGGGTCTTGTTGGCTTGGAACTCACTATGTAGACCAGGCTGGCCTTGAACTCACAGAGACCCGCCTGCCTCTGCCTCCTGAGTGCTA